ATGCACCCACTTTGTCTTCAGTGATCGTGTAGGGAAGGTGAGCATTGTGAAATGCCAGTTTAATAGAACAAAGTGTTCTTGTGCAGGACACTCATATATGAGTAATAGAGCTTTATATTCTTACAAGAGCAATTTTAAATTGAGAAAACACCGCAGCCCTGTCCAAATCATGTCCATAAGTCTGATATTAACCCATATGCCCAATACCAATCTGTAAATTCCTCTTCATACTCACACCGCACATGCAATGACGCTGAATGCAGGAAGATCCCAGGCCAGTGGGTGGAAAGTCTTATGGATCCAGTGGCAGTAGAAACATCTCAGTGCTGGTAGGGGTCTCCACATGGCTCTTCCAGCTACAGGGCTCTAGTTCCACCAGCATAGCTCCATGTGTTGGTCTAGCCTCCAGTGAGCTATTTATTTTCATCACGCCTTCAAATAAGGTCATCAAGCTATGACCTGATTGACAGGCCGAACTCCACCCCTTCACTCTGAATAGGCTCAAGTTGATGCGAGATTATGTAACTACCACAGAGGGGTATCCTTAAATCATGCGATTTAGACTCTTCTTGCTCCTTATCCTAGTCTTGGCTTTCTGAACGAAGCCATTCCAAAAGATGGTCTTTTTGCTAGCACTTTTGTTTTGTTTTTACAATGAGTCCTGTTGGTTACGTGTGTGCAGAGGCTCTGAGGAATATCCTCACCTCAGTCACTCCAGCATTCTTTTCTGTGTTCTTTCACGGTCTCCACATGGCCTCTGTTTCCCCATTCAGACGTGCAGCTCTTGATGCCTCATCTGGTCTTTTTGCATCTCAGAAGTGATTAGGTTTAAGACCCATTATACACTGCTGTGGTCTCATTACATCACAAATATAAGCTTATCCCCAAATGGGATTACATTCACAGGCACAGGGGATAGGATTCCAATACCATTTTAAAAAATAGTTTTATTGGCATATAAATCACATACCATACAATTTAATAATTCAATCACATTTAAAATTATGAACTCACCACAATCCATTTCAGAATATTTTCTTTCTCACACTTGCCAGCTCCCCATTTCCTCCCAACTTCCCCTGCTATGCCCCTAGTTAGTTATTAATCCAGTTACTGTCTCTGTTGATTTACTTAGTCTGTATTTCATGTACAGAAAACCATACAAAACACAGACAGCAAGCAAGCAAACAAAAACCAACAACAATAGCAAAATAAAATTGAGAAAAACCTCAATCAAAAAGAAAGCAGAAAATATTAAAGATGGAAACAACTTTAAAATGGGTCAAAAGGGAGATCAAATGATAAGGTATTACATTTTAACCTAACTACATCTCCCATAATCGACTTTATAATGTTCTCTGTCTGATAGTAAGGGTATTCACATGCCTGGACTGTGGTCAGAGTAATGTATAGCACATGGCCTGGGTCACCAAACGTTGGAGAGAAACTAAGCCAAAAGTATCCGATTGGGAACCCAGAGCTTATTCTCCTCTGGGGTTCTGTATAAGTATTAGTAAACCTTCTTTTCCTGATGGGAAAGTTGCTCCTCTAAGTTGACCCACCAACAGAAATGTAATCAATCACCTTCTCTAAGATTCACATGCCCCAACCTCCGGTCCCATTCATCTGGACTTGAAATTCCAGTAAGGTTCGATGATCACTCTTATAGGAATGTCTGTTGATTTGGAGTGACCTTAGCACAAGATTGTATGGTAGCAACTGAATGATCTTCTCCCTGAATCTTGTGAAACTGACCCCAGTTGAGGTGAAGTCTCCTCTCTCAAGGTGGTTTCTAAGGTGTACATAGAAATGGGTGACACATGGTTCACAGGCACTAGGAAGCTCTCTACCTCATTGCTGGGTGACTGGATTAGATGATATGACCTGAGAACAGAAATCTGCCTTTGTCTTGGTGTTGATCCTTAAAGGAGTAGACTGATCCAATCTTTTTCCATTCATGATTGACCAACTTCACTCAGCATAATGGTTTCCAGGTCCATCCATACCCTGAGATATTTCATGGTGTCATTGCTATATTTTAGGGATGCATGGCATTCCATTGTGTTGCTATTCCGGAGTTCTTGAGCTGTTCGTATTGATGGGCATTTGTGCTGTTTCCAGCTTCTGGTTATTGCATGAAGTGCTGCAATGCACATGGAAGAACATATTTGATCATATCTTGTCTCTTACTTTTGGGGGCTATTTGCCCAGCAAAGGTATTGATGGGTTATGCAGTATTTCTGATCCCAGTTGTTTTAGGTATCGCCATATTGCTTCCACAATGGTTTTACCCAGCATATATATTTTTAGGGGATCACAATTCAATCTATAATCCACCCCCACTGCATCGAGCTGATTCTGACTGCAAAGGACCCTGTAGATCACCTTAGAACTGCTCCTTAGGGTTTCTGAGAGTATGGATCATTACAGGGGCTTACAAGCTCATCTTTCTCCTGAGGAACTACGGGTGTCTGTGAACTTCCGACCTTTCAGTTAGTAGCTGTGTTAGTCTGCGTAGACTAGAGGAACAAATCCACAGAAACTCATATGTTTATCAGAGAGAGTTTTATATAAAGGGTAAGTGTACATTAATAAAGTATCCCAACCCAGTCCAGTCCAAGGCCATAAGTCGGACATTTACCCATATGCCCGACACCGATATACAAAGCCCTCCTCAAATTCACAAACCACACACAACGATGCCAAATGCAGGACGGTCACAGGCCAGTGGGTAGAACGTCTTTGAATCCAGTGGAGGTGTAAGCATCTCTGCGCTGGCAGGGGTCTCCACGCACGCGGCTGCTCCAGCACCCAGGGCTGCATCAGGGTAGGTCCATGTGGCTTCTCTTCAGGGATGTGTCACAGGAAATGAGGCTTGCCAGCTGAGGTGAAGAACTAGCGAAGGCAGCCACGCACTGATCTGACCATTAGAGAACAAGAGACCAGAGGAACCAGAAGGGCGTGGCTCACTGAGCCATTTATCTCTCCGCCCTTCAATTAAACAGCCCTTCAATGAATCCCACATGTATGCATTGGCCAGGTTGGCACAATAAACCTTAACTAGCACAGTAGCCTAAAAGTGCTACTAGAGTTCCTTCACGTTAGTATTGCGGGTCAGCACTGAAGGAAGTTTGGGTTTAGTAAATAGCCCAACTTTCACTTGGCCTCTAACCTTGTTCACGTGCATTCTCTCTCTCCTTTTTTGGTGACTTTTATCCAGGACCTTGAGAATTTCATAGCCAAGTTTGGAGACTCTGGTTTTATCCTTGTGACCCTGGGCTCCATGCTACATAACTATCAGATCCAGGATATCCTCAAGGAGATGAACAAGGCCTTTGCTCATCGTCCTCAAGGAGTGATATGGAGATACAAGACTTCGGAGTGGCCCAAAGATGTGCAATTGGCAGCAAATGTGAAACTTGTGGACTGGCTTCCCCAGAGCGACCTCCTGGGTAAGAGCTGCCCAGATCTGCTTCCCTCTTTTCATGTCCCTGTCCTTGGGTTCTGGTCTCTCCACGGGCATTCCCAGCAGCACAGGAAGGCTCTAGAGGACAGGAGAGGTCCAGCCCACTGCAGTCTTGGAAAGCAGTCGGGACTCCAAGGAGATCAGATGCCCAGTCATCTCACCTTTATTTTTTTCTTTGCCATGTTCAACGTTCACAGCCAGAAATGGTATTCTTTGCTAGGCCCCTGACACCACTGCGTGCGCACTGAACAAGGCCACTCAAATAAGATCCATGACAACATGTGAAGTCCAAGAATACAGTCCGGGTGGGAGACAGAGACAAGATGCACATCCTCCTTATATCCTATTGGAAGTGTCACAATATCTAACTGCCAAGCTGAGAAACCTCACTGCTGGTATTTTGCCCCAAGCATTCTCTAGTACGAGCTCATCACCCACTCAACTGTTTCCCCATCCTCTGTGCTCAGGGCTGTTTCTTGGGCACCTACTGCCACAGGCACTGGCTGGATCAGAGACCCCTAACCAAGATAATGGCTCAAAGAACTGATGTATTTAAGAAACTCCATAATGTGTTTCACTTGTCCGTGATGTGGGACGCATGCCCCCCATTTTCAACAAGTGCACCCGGAGGTTCTGCTGTAATTTCTGGTTGGAAGGTGCAGGTCAAGAGGATGTCTTCACTATCACCAGTCAATTTTGTTCACTATCAAGAAGGGTGAGATGCAAAGATGTAAATGCAGATTAGCGGGTTCTTCCCTGCCTTCTGGGCCGTCTCACAAGATTGAAGAGAAAACACACACAGACTCTAAAGATGACAATGCAGTGTAGGTTCTTTGACAGCAACATGAATTGCCATGTGCGTTAATGTGTCAAGAATTCAGAGAAGATGGAAGTAAATGGGTAGTGACGCATGTGAGAAGATGGCACACAGAGAGAATAGAGATTAGCAAAGCAAAGACAGAAGAGAGAAGGAAGGGGTATGGGCAGCTAGTACCCTTCTCTGAAACTTTCTTTGAGATATCCGTGGTCCTGGACAAGGGAAGGTGTCCATTCAGGAGCAAGTCTTGGAGTGTTGTAGAGTGGAAGATGTCCCCTCAGGGTATCTCCGGTAAAACCAGGGCCATTTCAATGGCCCCACCCACCACCGCTTGAGCGTGCCTTGGCATTTTCTTCTACCCTTGCTCTACGACCTGGTTTTATGAAGATTTTCATTATGAATTGTTCTGTTTTCTCTGAGACAGCTCATCCTAGCATCCGTCTTTTTGTCACCCACGGTGGACAGAATAGCATCATGGAAGCCATCCAACACGGTGTGCCCGTGGTGGGGATTCCACTCTTTGGAGACCAGCCTGAAAACTTGGTCCGAGTCGAAGCCAAACACTTAGGCGTTACTATGTCATTAAAGCAGCTCAAGGCAGAAACATTGGCTCGCAAGATGAAACAAGTCATGGAGGACAAGAGGTATGCAACTGTCTGGGCCCGTGGTCACTTCGGCCAAAGGAAGCATTGTATAAAAGGCCATGTGGGCGCCCTTGCTAATAGAGCTGAAACTCCTCTGGCATGGAATGAGAATAATCAATGTGTTAGTCTGGGTAGACTAGAGAAACAAAAATTATAGACACTCATAGGTGTATAAGAAAGAGCTTTATATAAAAGAGAGATTGACTACTGAGAAAACATCCCAGCCCAGTCCAGATCAAGTCCATAAGTCTGGTATTAGCCCATATATCTGATACAAATCTATAAATTCCTTGTCAGACTCAGGAAACACATGCAATGATGCCTAATGCAGGATGATCACAGGCCAGTGGGTGGAAAGTCTTGTGGAGCCAGTGGCAATGTAAGCATCTCAGTGCTGGCAGGGGTCTCCATGTGGCTTGTCAACAAGAATGTCTCACAGGGAGTGAGCATGTGTCCCACCTCGAGCGAGCTATTTATCTCCTCACTGCCTCCAAATGAGAACATCAAGCTGTGACCTGATTGACAGGCTAAACTTCACCCCTTCACTGGTCTGTTTCAAATTGACAACAGATTATGTAACTGCCACATGCAGGCATGCTAACAGCTGACGTGTTTCCTCTGAAACAAGACTAGAACAATGTAGCTTGGATGCTAAAAATGATTTTATTTTTTTACCTTAAGGATTTTGAGGGACATGACAATTTTACAGAGATCATTGATAAATCATGAAAGAAGTTTCATTCTTATAATAATATACTGAGGCACAAATTGGCTTTTGTGCTCCCCGCATACACCAACGTCTTCCTCTCCACGTCTGGGTCGCTGCCCATGCTGTGCTCTAGGACACTCCTTCCTCTCTCTTCCTTTGGCTGGCTCTTGACCTTCTGGTCCGCCTTCAATGCCATCTTCTCAGAGAGACCTACATGGCTAGTCAGCTCCCTCACCCACCTCAATTATATTATTCCCCTCTTAACATGATTCCGGTTCTGTAATGATCCTATTGGCTATGTTTTCCTATCTGGCCAGTCACCGCATGCTAGGGAGTCAACACCACAAGAACAAGAGCAAGAGGAGGCTCCTGCTTTCCACTGGTTTCCAAAGCCAAGTGTCAGACCTTCCACAGAACATGGGGTCAATGACTTCTGCTCCGCGAATCTAGGAGAGGGCCAGGTGACCTTCACCATACGGACTATCCAGCGAAGTGAACCTTAGTGATAGCATTCTAACAAAGAAGGACTGGATTCCTTGGTAGAGCTCTAAAAGCACACCTCTTCAGCCGCAAATCCATGCTTACTGAGACGGCTTGGCACATTGCTGTGAGGTGCCATCAAGTTGGTTCTGACTCTTAATGACCCTCAAGGACAGAGCAGAGCTGCCCCGATGGCTTTCTGAGGTGGCAGCACTTTATGGGAGCAGAAAGTCCTCTTCCTTCTCCCACACAAGGCAGGTGGATCCGGAGTGCTGACCGTGTCAGCACAGTGCATGCCCCACTATGTCACCAGGGCTCCTTTCCTTTGCACAGAGGGGACAGAACATTCATTTTATTGCATGAGTGGGAAACAACCACATGGCTCGGGGTTCTGAGCCTGAAAAACAGGGGTAAGTCTTAGGCGTCTGCTGACCCCAGGAATTTGGACTATCTTTTCTGTCTCACGCGTCACAAATATTCACCTTCTGAGCAATGGATGCCTAGCATTCTCTAGGGCGTCAGGGGCAAGGGCTCCCAATACCAAGAAGCGCTTCCCCTGGTGTAAGAGTCATTCTGGTCTAGAATCTTTCCCAGACAGTTTGCCGCACCCAGACTGACTATGTAATTTGTGTGTCTGGGTGCCAAGGAAAATGTGTGGCCCCTCGTGTACAATGTATTAGGAATTTCAAGCTGGAGAGTGCAGAGAAGAAATAAACCAAGTAGCGGGTCCTTCCCAGGGATGGACCGTGTGGGGGCACAGTCCTACACCCATGAAGCTGCCCTGTCTCTGAACACTCCAGGGACGCAGGCCTTCCCAAGCCCATCAGTCCAGAATCACTTTTCTCATGTAGTCCAGAGCCTGGACTCTCATGTTTGATAATACAATAATTCCACCATATGTAGTTCTCCAGGTCTACCCTTGGGGGAAGCGTGAGTTGTATGAACTTACACCATTTTTATAGTCCAACGCTATGTGTGTACCTCTGTGTGTATATTTGTTACTGGGTTCTCCAAGGACTCAGACAAACAGGCACCACCGGATCAACTCTTCCTCGAAACTCCCTCTTCTGTGCATCTGGAGGGAAAATGCATCTCCTGCAAGTCTTCTGAGAGCACAGCAGTGATGGCACCTCTGTCTCTGCCAACAGGTACAAGTCGGCAGCCATGGCCGCCAGCATCATCAGGCGCTCCCACCCGCTGAGCCCCTCCCAGAGGCTGGTGGGCTGGATCAACCACATCCTGCAGACAGGGAATGGGGCACACCTCAAGCCCTTTGTTTTCCAGCAGCCTTGGTATGAGCAGTACCTGCTGGACGTCCTCTTGTTCCTGCTGGGGGTCGCCCTCGGCTCCATGTGGCTTTGTGGGAAGTTGCTGCGCGTGATGGCCAGCTGGCTGCGTGGGTCCCAGAAGCTGAAACAGATGTGATAGGAGATTCCCGGGTTGGCTGTGCAGGGGACTCACCGTTCCTTGGAAAGGCTTCCGTCAGCACAAGCCACGCGCAGTGATCTCCTGACTCCTCCATTGGCTGGTGATTCTGCATTTGCTTCTCAACATTGGCTTCCTCTATTCTGAGATGCTGAAATGCTCTACTTTCCGGCGTATCACCGGGTCCGGTGTGAATCGGGGCACCTCCGCTCAGCCAACCCTGCCTTTCTCGTCACTCCCGTGTCCTCGACACGGTTCTCAGGCCATTTCATCTTCCTTATGTAATCTCTCCCCATTTCTCCTCCCATTGCTTTTATTTTTTTTTAATGAAGGTGCATTGCAGCTGTGTGAATAACAGAGGCAAACTGGAAACTACCAACATGTCTACTAACGGCGAACAGTTAGACAAATGGCTACATCCATACCTGGGAATGCTTTTTAACAATCATAAATCATAAATATCAATGGCTGATGCACGCAACTACCTGAAGGGTTCTCCAGAGAATTATGCTGAGTAAAAAAACAAAAACACGTTCCAAAGGATTTATATTATAGGATAGTATTTATACAGCATTCTTGCACTGACAAAATTGTCGAATAAGAAAGCAGAAGGAGGGTCCCAGGGTTTAGTGAGTCATTGTGTGATTGAAGTGGATGTTCCCATAAAAAGGTTCAATGAGGGACCCCAGTGGTGCTGAAAATATTCTGTCTCCTGACTGGATCAATATCAGTATCCCAGCCATGCATGATCCTGGGCTGCCGTTCTGTGAGCTGTTACCATGGGTGGGGGTTGTGGGGGGCGGAACTAGATAAAGGCACAATGGGATACTTTACATTCTTTCTTACAACTGCATGTGAATCCACATTTATCTCCCAATGGAGACTTCCATTTGAGAAAACATAAAGGCTAAACTTGCTTGCTGTGTTCTCTGGCCCCCTTTCTTGGCATTGAGGGCTCTTGGCCTGGGAGGCTTTGCTATTGTTCTCATCTGGAACCCCAGGGTCTCTACTGCTTCCCCACAACACGCTTCTGAGGGCTTCTCTAAATATGGCAAAGGGGTCTGCTGCGTGCCAGCCTCATACGGGAGCAGACAAAGCATTTTCTTAGCAGATTTCCATCACTTTTAATTAAAAATACATATGTCTGGATTCCTCATTCGAGACACAAAAGCCAAATCATGAAATAGGGAGCTAAAAACAATGAGTACAAGAAAGAAGGAAACGTTCTAAAATTGATTGTGGTGATGATTATCCAATGCTTCTTGATAGGCTTGAACTATTGAATTGTCTGATATGTAGATTATGTGCCAATAAAACTGCTTTTATTAAAGCTAAACCATGAAATAAAAACCTTAGATCAATTGGATTTTATAAACTTAAAAACTTTCACTCTCCTAAATACACCAACACAAAAAACAAGGCAAGGCATACAATGGAGAAACTATTGATAAGGCATTATTTCAGACGAGGCAATTGGATACAGAAAACCTACATCACTCTTGTAACTTAATCATAAGACAAAGGCTGACATCTTTCAGCAGACACATCACAAAAGATGTACAAATGTTCAATTAATTCAAGATGAGGTGCTGAACATTAGCCATCAGAGAAATGCCAAATAAAACTATAATTAGTTACTACAACACATGTAGTATGTTTCCAATTTAAAGACTGTTAATGCCCATATTGTTACTGTTAGAGGTCCAGTTACTGGGACCTCCTAAGGGCAGAACAGACAGAGCTGCTGGTTTCATATCATCCTCAGAATTATTGCTGCGTTTGAGCCCATTGTTGCAGCCATAGGTCAAGCTATCACCTTGAGGGTCTTCTCCTTCTTTAAAGACCCTCGGCTCTTCCAAGCATGCTGTCCTTTTCCAGAAACTGGTCCCTTCGGATCACATGTCCTAAGTATCCTTACAAGGAGCCTTCCGACTGTACTTCTTCCACACACATTTGTTCATGCTCTGGAAGTCCATGGTACTTTTAATATTCGATGTCCACATAATAATCCAAAGTCATCGATGCTCCCTAACTCTTCCTTATTCCTTTTCTGAATTTCTCATGAATATGTTGTTGTCGTCAGGTGCTGTGCTCTTAGGAAAACCACAGGGTAAGGGCCCTTACTAGAAATGCACTCGACCCAGTTCAATAAGTTGTCTCATCCAACATCGGTTGATTTCATGGTGAACAAGGTACTGGGCTGGGCACTTTGCAAGATGCAAAGGCAACTGGACTCTCTCTCTGTCCTCCCAGATCTCTCAATTGGGGACATGCTGTCTGTCTTACTGGCTGATTAACGGGAACATTCGTCTGAGATTGGTGGGGTGGCGTGTCCAGTGGATGCTCCCTAAGTGCTAAGGAGGTTAGCATAGTGCTTTCATTTTAGCTCAGTGAGAGCAGAAAGACAGCCCAAGATCACTGGGTGCGCTGTAGCGAGGATGGGTGTTTTGAGATGAAATGGCTTGTGATGTGTGGAGAAGACATGCAGCACTATCTTGGGGGTGATCTGTCATCTGCCACTGACAGCACTTCCTTAGTAGGTGTCAGCCACCACAGACCGGGTCTAACACTCAAAGTGAAACAATGTGGTCTCCTTCTTTTTTTCAAATTACAGCCTGTGGAATGTTCCTTAAACAAAGTCAAGTCTTTGTTAAAACCCACTAATCATATTGTCTTGGAAACTGACAAGGTAGAGCGTATGCCTATTTCAGAAGCCTTAGTGAGTGATGTCTCCACTTCCCTGAGACTAACTATGATTTCAGATGAAAAGCAGAAAGTGGAACTCAGGTCTTCCTGGTTCCAGTCCTGCGTTCTCCATCCAGACCCCTTCCTGAAGGCAGGGAGTGAAGGGGTGGGATTGATGTGATAGGCACAGTAATGAAAGGACTAAGTTTTGACGTTTTTCTGTCAATAAGGCCACACCCATTCTGACACATCTAGAAACGTTACAGAGCAAAGTAGACCAGCCCCACAGGGTTTCCAGGGCAATCAGTCTTTATAGGAGCAGACGGCTTCATCGAGGCCGGTGGATTTAAATTATGGACCTCTTCAGTTCGCAGTCTAGCCTTCACCACTGCACCAGCAGGGCTCCTACAAACAGAGCCACTAGATTGCTTCTTCCCTGACAAACTCACTGTCAAGGAATGGGAGTCCAACAAGAAGCAAATGGAAAAGAAGACGAGAGAACAGAAGGAACCAAGGACGGAAACAGTGGGCCAGGCACCCTATCGATGTGTGAATTCAGAGCGAGGAGGCCCTGGAATCACCTATACGTACACCTGCCTGCTTGGGTGTGTTGTGGTTTTGCTCACCTGGTAATAAGATGCCCTTCCCATAAGCCACCGGGCGACAACACAAGGGCAAGTAAATGCTGCCTGGAAAATGTAAAACAACTTTCTACTTAATACCTTGTAATACATAGAATACCAGTGTTAATGTCATTCGAGAAACCAAGCAATTTCCAGCAAAACTTCCTGCTGGCTTCTCTCCAGGGGCAAACAGCTTTTTACTGTTTGGGCTTTACAGGCGCCGGGATTGCCTAGGTAACAACTGTAAACTTGGAGAAAGAAAAAGGTAGGGCCAGCTTGAGGATGGACAGTGAGCTACACCACTCAGGCTGTGAGTTTGTGGGCGTGATCCCAAGTTATCCAATGAGCGCTAAAAGGGCGAGGCCAGGAAGCTGGAGAGAGAAAGGTAAGACAGAGGAAGAGATGGGAGGGGGCCGGTCTTTTTTTTCTTTCCCTGCCGCAAAAGAGAGCGTCCATAGTTTCAGTTTGAAGCGACTGGTGGCGACAGGTTAGCATATAAGGTAAATTGATTTCCCCCGCCCCTGTTTTATTGATTGGATTCCTTTTTATTTTGTATTAACTCCAGAGAGACGACGGGAGATGTTACCCTCTGAAAAGAAAACCTCTTAGTGAGAGTTCTTGGAGGAGAATCATTAGGCTGCCATTCAGGGAGGTGTTCGCCTGGTAGTGGGAGAGATTTCTGCTAGATGTTCCGATACCAATGGACACATTCATTCAGTCAGTATGTACTGGGGATTGGGAGTGTGAAGTATTTGGGTAAACCCATCTTTTGAAGCGATCTGTGTGATTTAGCGTCAGGGAGGTTCTATGTCTTGTCATAGCAATGAAGCGATGGAGTTTGCATCTAGACCAGGGTGTGAGTGACGTTCAGAGCTTGCGATCTCTCCCATACCCTGTTGAACTGACCACGTAGAATCAGAACCAGTATTCTTATTAAGATGTATTGATACGGCTTGTGAGTAATGGTATCAGAGTTGATGTGATTTATTCCGGAGGTCGGATTGTTAAAAATGAGAGAATCCATGGGATTCATGATGGAATTGGGAAGGGCCGTAGTACACAGCAGCATCAGTTATTCACGTGCTCAGACCCTTGTCTCCGTTTGGGCAAAGTGAACCTGTGCTTAATAGATGCCATTCTCTCCTGTTGTTAACGGGTCTTATTTATCCCTCCAAACCTTACAACTGCAGAGGTCTTTCTTTACATTTTGCTATTGTGGATTTTAAATAGCATGCCTTAAGTTGTTGCCATTCATTTGTATTTATACTTACAAATCCGAATAGTCATAGCTCTGGTCAGTTCTGATAGCAAACTAAACACATCACGTTAAGTGTTGACCAGAGAAGCCACAAAGGGCACAACGTGGCCTTTAGGATCTTGGGAGTCTAGTGGGGTAGGCAGTTCTGGAAGCAGAGAGCTACCTCAGAGTGGAATGTGGACAGAAGTCTAGATTTGCCCAAGGATGCACCCAGGACGGTGGGAGACACTCTCTGGTGGCAGGGGCTATGTGAGGCTTCCCGCAGCGATTGCACAGGATGAGTAGACTTCTCCCGGTCCACAAGGAGCGGGGATTCGCCTTAATGTTGGCATGGCAGGTGCAAAGACACAGAGGTAACGAGCATCCAGGAGTATTCGGAGGACTGTAAGGGAGGATCGGTGCAGATTAGGTTTTGTAAGGGTTGGGGAGTTACCAGAGACAAGATGGGAGAGGCAGGCAGGAACCAAACATGCTAAGAAGCTTGGACTTAATCTGTAAGTAATAGGGAGTGAGCACAGTGCTTTAAACTGGAGTGGAAGTTCAGATTTCCAACTTATAAGGATGGCTTTGACAGCCATCTGGGGTTTGGGTTGGAAGGGGGAAGGGCCAGATGTAGAGAACCAGCTAGGACACGATTTCATGAGGGGAAATGAGAAAGGAGCTAGTAGATCCTGGCCTAAGTCAGTATCCATGGTGATGGAACAGAAAACTGAAATGCAGGCGATGCCCTTGTGGTGAAATCCCCCAGGATGTCGCCGCTGACCGGATGTCAAGGGTGATCAAGAATCCAACATGATGCTCTGCTAATGGTCAGGGCTGAATGGTGTTGTCACTTCCTGTGGCAAGGAATCCTGAGGAAAAGAGAATGACTTTCATTCCGGAACCTTCAATCGGAGGTAGCTCTAGGTCATCAAGAACGTATGCTTTGTGAGAACTTGGAGATCTGATTCAGAAGCTGGGACAGGACATGGGTTGGAAGAAAGGTCTACGGGTCACCAGTGTGTCAGGGACTGGGACTGAGATGGCCAGGAGACATCGTGAAAGTCAGAGGAGGATATCTAGTCAGAGCTGGGAAGCAGTTGTGTTTAATGAGATGAAAAGACATTAGAAAAGAGTTTCAAGAAAGAAAATAATGAATCGTGTCAACCGTTGTTGGGACACGTGAAATGGGACTCAAAGGAACTGTTCCTGGTGCCAATCAGGTTAGAAATGACATATCAAGTGTTTGTTCATGGAATTGACGGATGGAGGCCAGACGTCGGGGAGCTGAAGTACGATGAGGCAGGACAGAACTCAGGCCAATTACCTGATCCTAAAGGGTGATAATAGCTAGAAGAAGGTCAGGATTGAGGGACCACCAAAGAGGCACTAGAGGAACAAGAACGGAAAAAGGTTGATGGGAGACTCTGAAAAGGAACTTAAAGGGTGACGGGTTGGGATCTGTGTCTCAGGTAGACAGGTTCTCCTCAGCTGGGAGCAAGCTCAGCTCGCCTTTGGGGGGAAGACTGGCTGACATCAGGATGGTCTCAGACATCAGGGCCTTACAGCATTGGAGGGGTGTGAGAGAATTCAGGTGCGATAGTTCTGTTTCTTCTGTTGAGCTTAAGACAAAGTGTCAAAGATTTGCAGTAGCATCTGAGAAGATTGGAAGAGGATTCTGACCAATGGCTGTGTGCTCCTGAAGACCAGCTGGGGTTGGTGCAGTGGCCCCGCCCATGCTGGTGCCTGGGTTTCTTCACTTGCACTTCTCAGCTTCCCTCTAAGGAAAGAAAGCGGACAGGAGGAGCCACGTAGG